ACATAAGGAGAAATTTCGGGGGCAAAAAAATAGAACTTTTATGAGGTTTTTTCTGTTATTTAGTCGCTGACTTTTTTCTGTAGTTTTTGATGCATCAAAGACTTTTCGCGTGGCCTGAGTCTCATTATGTTTTATTGCTTCATCTGTCGTGATTCAGATAGCATCATTTTAATTTCAAAATCTCCTATTTATGATGTTGTAAAATATTTTGTCTCTGCAGCTGAGCTGCAGTGCACAGGCCAATTAGCGTACCTCTTACTGAGTATAAACCTCATAACTTTAGCCGCAAAATCATAATCATTCACATTGATATTATGTTTTACAAAAATAAGAGAAGTGTAAACTTGCATCGCTTGAAACGTAAATCTATCCCGCTGCATATCCCCATTTTTGGCTATATCTTATGTATAAAAGGCTTTTTTTATTGCGGCTGGAGTTATTATAAATATTATAAAAATCTTTAGAATTATTTAGAAAAAATCATAAGAACTTAGAAATATTTTGGTCAGCACTGAAGTCTTGTACTGCTTCAGGAATTACATTTTGAAAAATTTAGTAAATTAAGTAAGCTCAGACATTTTTTAACCTAAGTTAGGATAAGCTAAATCATACTTTTTGATTACACAGTAAAGTTTGTGCGTAGTTTTACAGTGCGTACAAATTGGTCTGAAGTTTTGCGCAAAATGTATGTGTTCATTGAGAAAAAAGATCTTGTTTTTATCCGTTTTTTTTTAAATATTTTGGAGTAAAGTATGCGTAAAATCATCTAAATCCGCTTCAGTCCGCTTAAATGGTAAAATCCGCTAAACTCTGCTAACAAAAGGCGCCATATCAAGATGGGTAAAGCAAACTACTCTTTGCCGGGATGTCGGTGTCCAAAACAGATGTTTTTTTTTTTTCACCACGTCACGAAGTGGGAAGCAAAACGGCGTAGGTTTTTTAAACGCACTTAAACTTTTTCAAATAAAGTTTGTAGGGGTCAAGTCTGGTACCAGTTGACGCCCTATTTGAAGAGAATTGGATTCTTAAATATTAAGTCTTTGTGTTGAGAAAAATTTGTCTGTATTTTTTCGATTTTCAGACCAAGTTTACGAAAGTTTACTTAATCAAATTTTTTTACAGTCCAATTCAATTCTATTGCAACTTTTACTCTATTTTCGTAATGATATAATTAGCTTTTATTCTGATTGTGCTTCATCTCACAAAGCCAGAATTCATATATTGCCTTCCAAAGCGATCGATTCTTCTAAAAAGGCTTCCGAAAAGCATTTCAAAAACTGATTTTGCAGTTAACATTGTCATCTTCGTTTAACAATTGTTATTTAAACTGATATAATTTTGTAGGTAACTTCCCAAATGGCATAATTCCCAAATGGAATAAAAATGGAAACTTTTCCCAAATGGCATAAATTTCAAGTTTTTATTGTAATTTAAACGTCTTCTATCAATTTCTCTTTCTATCATTTTGTCAGGAACGAAAGCATGTGAAAAAGATTTGGAATTAATTGCTTCCAAACAAATTTAAGCAACAGATTTGTCGAAAAAAATTGACCACAAGAAGCTTATGAATAATCGCAAGCTTATGCTTCTTGCTTTTGATAAAAAGTTCTACAAGTTTTTCACGATAAAATGTCAATCAACATTTGAATTGACAATCGGACTAATTTTCTCACGTTTTTTACGAAAAAATTGTTCTCGATTTTTCCAAAGTAACTGTTGCATGAAATTTATACCATTTGGGAAACTTTTCATTTTTATGCCATTTGGGAATTATGCCATTTGAGACGTAATCATTTTGTACACTATTCTCTTTTGTTCATTGTCATATTGATTTTTTTTTTCAAATTGAAGAGGCTCATTTTCTAGACTTTTTGTACTACTAATTAAATTATTGGGAAAAAATTCACAAAGCAATTTCTCCGAGTTGAGTAAAATTTTTTTTATGACTGTAACTAAACCTGATGGTTGCCATTCATGCCCAGATCCACGCGTGATCATTAATCAAGCGCCCAAAAGTCTAAACCCAATTATGGCTCCAACTAAACTAAGATAATTGTTCACACAAAAACGGGCTAATTGAGACAATCAACATAAATTTTTCTTAAATTTCTGAAAATTGCAAAGTTGCTATGCTAACTTTTCCTCTCTCGTTTTTCAATTCACTTTTTACCTCATTTTTTTTCTGAAATTATATCAGAATTTGCCGGTTCCATATAAAATTTTTTTGGTGTTTCTATTAATCGATTCGATGGCGAGAACCTCAAATTTACGGTTTTAATATCTTTTTCACTGTCATGCAAGTCACATGGTTGGCCTAATGAGCTTGAGTTTTTTGAAACATAAAACGCTACAACTTTATATGTTTGGTCAAACAATTTCGGCAGCTTGTAAGTAAACTGCCTTTTTTTGTTCTCTTAACTCCATATTAATGTCACTTCAATCAGGTAAAAATGAATATTTCAACGGAAGGTTACGAGACGGATACCCTAATTGTCATTGTGAATTATCCTACTGGTTACTGCTTAGGTTCAGTAACGTTCTTACTAGTTTTCAAAAAAAAATCTGTCCTTTATAATGGCAGTTTTAGATTACAATTTGGTCATAAAGGAATAAACCATCTTTTTGACCACTTAAAGGAATTCGCTGCTCACTTCATAAAGTTTCCATCGATACAATGTTTTGCCAAGTAGAATTCAATTTGTTACCTTCCGGGGATAGCTATTTTTCGGCCAATTTTCGAGCCGTGTTGGACTGGATACTCTTCTGCTTTCAAAAAATAATGTGGTCTTTTTATGACGCAAGACTAGCTATGACTATGAGTTTTTGATGAAAGAGCTGGTAATCAAATTCAACACTGAAGTTAACGTTTCTTTATTTCAGTATCGACTACACAAAATGTGTCCTGTCAATTCGAAATTGGCTCACTATGGACCCTGAGAGAATGAAAATCCAAATCTGCAAGCCTTCGACTGCGTCTGTTATGTTAAAATGCCCTGCAAAATATTGACTTTCCTAAGTCCAAAAGTGTTTAGAATTGTTCCTTCCGCAGTGTTTTTTTTCTGGAAAAAAAATGAAATACTTGTTAAAGCTGTGTGCGAAAAAACCATTCAGTGCTGTCATTCTTCAAACTCTTCAAATGCCGAAATTATTTAATTTTTTTTTCGAGTCTGCATCTCGGAAGTCTTACACCCTTCGTTTTTACGAATAAAATTTTAAAAAAATATGGCTTGAGAAGGTGAAGGCTTTAGTTCCAATTACCCTTAACCAGAATCTAAACACGTCAAAACGACGTGAGTTCAGCGAGAAAACTAAATTCGAAAAAGAGCGAAACGCCAACCTTATCTAGCAAATTGCTCAAAAAAAAACAGAACGCGAATACCAGTGCTATGCAGGTAGTTGAACAACTGAGACGAGATGATGGATGACAACAACGGAGGAGATGGAAGAGGAGAACAGAATCAAAAAATGATCAATTTGTTCAATCATATTTAAAAACGTTTGTCTATTTTATATATTTGTTTCTTAGTGCAATTTTTCTTACTTATTTTTCTGACTGTTTTTTTTCCACCTGTTAAAATTTTTTGTCTCTCAATTGAAAAAAAAAGAAAGTATTTCAACCCAGTTGATCGTTCTTTGAAAAAAAATTGAGCCGTACTTTTTATCAACAGAAAAAAACATCTCACGGGATGTCTCCCCCAATAAACCTTTCTTCCCTACTGTCTCATCACAAATTCTGATGATTTGTAATCTTTCTGAACCCAAAATAATCTCAAATATCAATTTTTATTTGGTGATTGTTTCCAAAACGATCCCTAAGCTATGCTTGCTAAGATTTTCCCCAACTACTAAAGGGTGACCTTCACCCTTTTATATAAACAATGTTTTAAAATTTGTCTGTGAATTCACTTGACGATGATTAAATCTTTGTTTTTGAGTTCTGCGTTGTTAGATAATAATTTCAGTTCTATTTCTTAATTGTTCAAACGCAGCAACTGATTAATTCAGTTACAAACAAAATTGCGGATTCCTTTACCATTTGCGGAATCGCTTACATTTGCGGATTCCTTTTACATTTGCGGAAGCCACTTAGTTTGGTTAAGTCGTTCATAAGTGGGGAATCCAGAACGATTAGCTTTGTTTGCTTGTGGCGGAAACCGCGACAAAACAAATATGCCGACAAAATTTACGTTAGTGGGATTTGTACGTGAAATCCACGGAAGTTTTGTGAGTGGTATTCATTTGCATTTTGGAACTTGTTTAAGCACTTGTCTCTGGAATTCAGAAACATACAGACACCAAGTTGCGGGCGTATTCAGTGAACTGTTTCGCCGGTAATACTTTGATTTTGCGCTTGTTTCAAGGTATTTTTGTACGTTCTTGCATTTTAAACGTTTCTTAGAGCTTGTTTTGGCAGTTTTTTGCCGATATTTACCAAGCGCAGAGACCCATGTTTTTAAAAATTATAATTATTTAGTGACGTGGCCACCAGAGGAGTGGGTATGTTAAATTTCTAGAATAAAAGAAAATGAAAAACTTCATGATTGCCAACAATTTTTTGAACTTTCAAAAATTTCGAAAAAAAAAACTAAAAAGTTTATAAAATTGAAAAAACTTATAATGTTTTGTCGCATGCTCTACTACAAGATACAAATATTTGGATAGTAAAAAAGAAAATCAGTTAATTGATAATCTATATGTATCTTGAAACCGAATACGGCAAAAAGTGTTAATGAATACATTTTCAAATTTGATTACCCATAGGGGCTGTTTTGAAGTCGGAGTATTTTGCATCCTGTGCTCTACAGGTGATGAGGCGCTCTTTGACTCTTTCAACAAAACTTAAATTCAATTTACTAGCGCGTGAACAACCGCGGGGTGTAGACGAAAATAATCGGTGTCTTCGATATTCGGCGCTGCGGTGGGAGATCGGTCTTTTATCGTGAGTCTAGTTTTGCCGGCAAAAAACATATTTTCACAAATCTGAATTAATTAGTGATTAAATGAATTAAAAAGCAGCACAGCGCATAATAAAACTACTTAAGTAAAAACTGCACAATAAAATTTAACGTTTACAAGTTGGCATATCTGAAATTAATTTAAACACTGTTTCAGTCTAACTTGGTGAAAGCATTTCGAAATAGGATAAAATTTCGCAACGAGGAAGTCTCTAGACAAGCATGTTGACCGCACTGTTTTTGAAAGTACTCGTGGTGACCATGTATTTAGATTGATTCTGCTTTTTTAAGGATTCGATGTAGCTTATAATCTTTTTCTTGTGTTTATTGTTTGTCACTCCGATTGCTCCGATCATATCTTCTGTCAGCTCTATGAGATCGGAGGAGTCGAGAATGTTGTTGGTCAAGAAGAAGCTGAGGTACTGCTTTTCTAGCTTGAGAGATCTCAACATTTGTTCCGATGCAGGTACTTGGCTCTGACTTCTTTGAGTCATGTTCGCTAATGTCGAATACTGCTGCTGTGCTTGGTAGATCCTAAAACAAAATCAAATAAATTCTCAAGAACTCAAATGGCCCGCGCTTCGATAAAAATTAGTTATCCTCGAATAACTTTTTTTCGAGAAAATAGCTTAAATGAAAACTTGTAAAAAACTGCACGTGCAATCCATGTTTACTAATAAACCGAAACTATTGAAAAAAATCCGTCAATAAGTTGAAATTCTGACAATAGATCAATTTTGAGGAATAAATACTCACATTGAGTTAGTGAAGGGCTGGTTGATGAACAAAGGGTGGCGCACAATGTTATCCAAGGTCTCTCTGATCTGTCTGAAATTAGGTCGGCTGTTCTTGTCTGGATTCCAACAAGAAGACATCAGTTCCGAAATAGCTTCCGGACATCCTTCCGGAATCGACAGCATGAATGGAGTTTGGAAGTTTCCATCGACCTGAAAAAATTATCAATTCAAGTTTTGCTCATCATTTCTGTTTTCGAGCAGATATATGGTGATGAATTTATAGCTCGGATTAAATTAGATGCAAACATTATTGTTTTTAATCAGTCAAATGTTAAATCAAGTACATTTTCATTAAAAGTGAAGATTTATGACAACTCGTATTTTTTTATTTTAGAGAGTCTTTTTCGTTCAAACTGCGCATGAAGTGACCAACCAATTGTGTTCACAGTGAGATTAAAATCTGTTCGCAGCTTTCCATAGAGTGTTATGTGATGTTTACACCGCCGGGTCTTATTTTAGCTCAGTTGGAGGTGTCAACGAGCCATTCATACTCTTGTCAAGCTCAATTCACTTCTTTCAGCCGGGGACTATTCTCATAGCAGAAGGTGGCAAAAGGCAGAAAATTTCTAACCTATCGAAATTTTAAAACTGTCCAAAGCTGCCTGATTTTCACGCTTCCTTTTCTCAAGTTTCCATTACTGTATTATAATTGGCTGATAAGCATTTCTGTCTTTTGAACCTTCTGCCATGAGGATTTTCCACTTTTTTTTATTGTTTCAATTCAAAATTCATTTTCTTCTTGTGGTGTTTTTTTTATGTGCAAATTATACAAATCTTGTGCCTTCGCCTCATTTTGCAACCTTCTACAGAAAACATCACAAAATCTTGAATTTTTTTAAAGGCAAGTTATCTGATGCTATCAGAAAAAAAAATAAAAGTTGTAACTTGAAAGGTGGTTTTTCTAATAAAAATCAGCTGTGTTCAAAAATTTGTTCTCACTTTTAATGTACAAGGAATCGCTTTGAAAGTTGCGCACAGGGGATCAAAAATTAATTTTCTCCATTTTTCCAACTCCTTTTCATCTTACTTCCTTGATTCGAGAATGCGTGATTAGCAATCAAATTGTAACACATTTGCAAAATTAATCCAAGATCACATGGAAAAAAACCTAATCATCTCATCCCCAGGTGTCCGATAGAGAAAAAAAAGATCAAAGAAACTTACCAAAATTTGAGAAAAAAATTTATCAGAAGTTGATGAAAAAAATGAATATCAAATGCAATCAAAAATTAACAAAAAAAAAGTAAGAATCAAGCGAATCAAAAATAAGAGCTAAGAGAAAAAAAAAGAAGAAAAAAAAATGAAATTTTGTATTACTATTTTTTGGCAATATATTACTTTTTTTAATTCCAGCAGTACTGATTATTACAAAATAAAGCATGGAACTTACAAGTTCTGATGAGACCGATTTGGGATAAGCAAGGTGAGGTGAGCTTCCATTTGAAAAGACTTCCCAGATGACAGTGGCGAAACTGTAGACATCAGATGCGCTCCAGTATTTCTTGTAATTTACCACTTCAGGCGCGCTCCAGGGAACCAAGTACTTTGCGATCTAAAAGGAACAAACACCTCAATGAAACTCGAAAGAACAAAAGGTTGCTGCACCAAAGGAAAACATATCAAACATGCAACCAGAAACAAAAAATCACATAAAACTTTAATTGTCAGAAAAACATATTTTTGTTGATAAATTAAGCATTCCGTTTGTAGTTCTTTTTTTGTTTATTTGCAAGATAAGATAACAGAACGTCGCCGTTGACAGAATATGGACATAAAACAGTTTTTTACACTTCAAAACTGTGAAAAGAGCTGTAATCTTAAATCCGTTAAACGTCAACATTTATACAATAGTGTTGCTATAATAAGGGGAAGTTTTTTTTTATATATATATAAAAAATTATTTCACATCAAAAAGATAAGTTTTTCCAATTAAATGGAGGCAAATGATTGAATGATGTTATCTGATTTCCACATTTTAATTATTAACGACAATTTTTTCTATTATCAAGTCTGTCCATTATTATTTTCTGGCTTTCAATTATACTGGCATCTGTCAGTTTCTTTTTCTGTTTTCCAATTTTATAGACATTCAATGCTAACATGTAAATAGAATGATATATAACAAAGTAGTAATTTAACTAATTGTATTTGCATTCAAATCATCAGAATTACTGAATACCTTAGCTGTTGATCCAGTTGAATCTTCTAATTCCAAAGCTGTTCGCATGTCAAATCCTGCTATTTTGCAAATTCCCGACGAGTTGACGGCTATGTTTTCCGATATCAACACCTGAGAACAAGAAACCCGTTAAATATTGATGGAAACTACAAGCTATTAACTGTATCAATTTGCATAACATTATCATTTAACACTGATTGACGCTTGTAAAAGTGCTGGAGTTAATTTAGATTACATGCTCGTCATTTAAGTGGAAGGCCATAAAGCTGAATTCGATCAGTTAGAAGCCTCTTAAGTCATTCATTAGACACTTCAAATTCATTCATTTTCAGAAGCCTTTTTTTCAAGCTGGCTTTTCAGCCTCACGGTGTTGTTTTTGTGTTTTCGTTCTTGATAGATTGTTTTTACAGATACACCTTGTAAATACAAGTTTGAAACATTTTCAAAGACTCCTGCCATTTTTGACGGGAAAATTGGTATCAAACTGGTTGTTTTAGACCCATGTTTACTTTTGCAGAGCCACAAACCATTTTAAAACGCTAGCGAAGCGCCAATTCAGCAAAAACCTGCTGCTTAATGAAGATTAACTAGCACAATTGACAGCTAATTTTACATCAAGTTGCGTTTGAAATTCTTCAAAAATTAAGTTAATATTTGGATAATTTGTAGTCTCGCTAGTGACTTACGTAAATTTGCATTTGCAAATTTTCTAACAAAATTTTATTCGAAAAAAAGACAATTTTTTTAGACAAGTCTTTTAAAAATATGAGCAATAATGTTCCCACTATTTTAAACCCATTTATGACCCATTAATTTTCTGTTTTAATAAATTATACATTTGAGAACACCTCTCAGTCTTCCCTAGTTGTCATTGTTTATTAAAAAGTAATAAATTTTTCCTACTAAATAATTAATCAATGGGAGTTAACGCCGCAAATGAAATGAACTAGCTAGCTTACTATAATCTATTTGAACAGAAAAAAAACAAGTTCTAGTTTTGATCTTCAAAAACATATTTATGGTTTTCTTTGAAATTGGCTGCAAAGACAACAACAAGTATTTTTTTCCTTAATTGCAAAAAAGTCCCTAGAATTCTTTTAATCAAATTTTGCTAAAAACCGAGTGTCAAAACTAGTACCATAAATTTTGTTTAAACGATACTAATTAATGAAAAATTGAAACATTGTGAAACGTCTCTGAAGATTAGGACCGTTTTCTTACTTTATGACAGTAGCCCAAGTCCGACAGGTACTGCATGCCACAAGAGATTCCTCTCAAAAGGTGAACAAGTTGGATCGAACTCAACTTGTCGCAAGATTCTCGCACAAAACTCAACAGGTTTCCCTTGTGGGCAACCTCATAGCACATGTACGCTTCTGTGGGTCCTAAAATTAACAAAAAAAAATAAAAACCAAATATAGATTTGCAAACAGGAGTAGATGGTTCAAAACTAGAACAGGATTTCCCGATCAAAGTTTCTATTGCTCCGAGTTTTAAAAAATTTTGTCCCCTGTTCTTAAGATGCAGTTTTCTTTCGTATAACAAAATTTCTACAATTTTAATGACTACAATATTAATGCATATACAATCAACCAATTTTAACATTCTATATAGGATCATGAAATACCTGACTGGCTAGGCTTACTAGACTTGATGTGAAAGAATATTGGAATCAATCTTAATAATTCAATTGTTCAATCACTGGCTCTTTTGGCAGCATATCAACGTCTGTTCTTAAGACGGACTATTATAAAAAACATACTGATTGTAACATAAATTAATAGCTTAGCATGCAGTTGACCTTGTATGGCTACATGTAGTGCCATGATAAAACATCAAGTTATATATATAGTATCAATATATCAAGGTTACTCATTTGAAAACACAAATGTTCACACTTTCTTACCATAAGCGACGCCATACACCATGAGGACATTTGGGTCGTTGAATTGCGATGCTACTGCGGCTTCGGATGCGAAACTTCGCAAGTCTGTTGTGTTTGAAACCGACATTAGGTCGCACTTTTTAGTCACGAGTTCAATTCTCTGGTCATCTAAAGTATGCAGAATTGCACGGCCAAAATGTCCAGTCGGATATTGCTCTGAATTCTCAAGACCTAAACCAAATTTGTTTCCATATCGAATATGAATTTTAGAAACAATTCAAGGCATGTAATAAAAAATTTCCTAAACTTTAATAAATATTTGTAACTTGATACTGTTCAATCCTTATATAGAATAACTTAGGTCTTAAAAAGTGTATAAATTAGGTCTTAATAAAGTCGCTAAGCATCTAAGTCAGATTGAGTGACTCAAGGTATGCAACAAACCTGTACTAAGTTTTTGACTGTCGAATATTTCAAGTTGGTCTAATGGAATTTCTCGAGTGAACTCGTACAACACTTTTTCCGGATCTTCGCAGAACTTCGGATCTACAAAACTCTGACCGAAGGGTGACTTCATTCCTAAAACAAACAATGGGAAGTTAAAAAAACACAAAAATTAGCAATCAAGGTGGTGCAGATTCAAAGGCGAGCCGCGGAAGCCGCCCTTAAATAAACAGTTTTTTTTATTTATGGAAAATATTTAGGGGTAAAAACGGAACAGGGCTGTTCCGCATTTTACTTTTCATATTGTTTACACTTGAATAAATTTCCATTTTGCACCTGACCAGGTTCAGTGCCAAATTCTGGCAAAAAATGCAGCAAAAATACTGAAAATAAAGGGTTGAATGCTTAGGAACTTACACAAAAATGAAAAGTCACAGTGTGGTTTAAGAATATAATTTTATTTAGAAGAAAGAACTGGGAGAAAAAGTGGCGATAAAATTGTAATATTAACGCTTCAATACCCTTGGAAATTACTTTTTTATTTCGGCTCAGTGATAAAGTAACTTTGAAAGGAAGTCATTAATGTGAGGGCGAATCAGCGAATCGGTTTGATCATTAAAGAAGATTAACAGAAGGGAAAACAAATATTGTGCCCAAGATTCGAGTTGTAATAAAAATCATACTCAAGATTAGAGCAGCTGGTTGTTGAGCAAGTACAACAGATTTCAGGAGAGACCATGGTTGAATCTTCGATAGTTTGTATTTGAGATTTGTTAAAAATCCCTCTATGGCATCTAATACCGAATACGCACCCCTCCCCCTATAATGATCTCATCTACCGGTTTAACGATATTGAATCCTTTTGTAACAGAGGGATAATTAGCAGGATCCTTTCGTTCTTAGAATGGAAAATGTACCATAAGTAGATTCGGTCTGACTGTAGCAATTGGGAGAGACATCCAACAAGTGCATGCTCCGATGGCTACTGTTGTTCCACATGGCGCCCGAACTGTCGATGGGAGTTGAGCGACGATAGCAATAGACAGCTAACACTAGTATGACCAGCATCAGAAGAATGATGGCCATGATCATGGCTGCTGTTATCACCAAGTGCTTCGGACTCAACTCCAGATCCAACGAAGAGATCTCTCCTAACAATATCAGCGACTTGAGTTCAACTTTTTCAACAACCATTTTTTTCAGAAAAAGAATTTTATTTTTCAGAAAAAAAAATTAGTTCAGAGTTCAGTTAACATCTATACAAACTTGAGTATTTTGAAACAAAACCTTTCCAACTTTTTCGACAGTGTATTTATAGAGGAGGTAGTTCAGGCTACCATGCAGTAGTGCATCGACCCTCAGAGAACTCATGAGAAAGTGGAAACCGATCAAAAATAGATTTTGCACACTGTTTTTCTAGATAAACATTCTTATAAGTACTAGCTGGTTAAGAATAACGAATGAGAAGTAAATTGCCAGAAGGACATCATTTGCATAAAATAAAACAAATCACAATTTATCTGATCTGACCGCAATGTTTTTTATGTGAATTTTTTGTAGTGAAAATTTGAAGTGGTTTTTTTGATATGATTCAATTGCATAAATACTTGCTTTCACATCTTTGAAGTTTGATAAAAAACACTTTTGATGGAAACAGTTGATTTTACTAATAATATTTTACTGGATTTCAATTTGCGTCAACTTAAAACCTCGTTTCTGTAAAAAGCTTATTGTCTCGAAGAACTTCATTTCCAGGTTTTTTCTTGGTCCCAGTTTCTAAAAAAAATTTAATTCAGATGAAGCATCATCAATTTTAAGTCACCTTGTACATCGAAGTAGAGATCGTTAGAACATACATCGGGCTGTACCACCGAGCACACTTTGAACTTCCACGGGCCAGGAGCCACATCTGTAAAACAGGAAAACAAATCAACAATTATCCCGACACATTGGCTAAAAAATAACACAGCAAAATCATTCTAAAAACATCTCATTTTTATACAAAAATATTAAACAAAAAATTGTGACAAGCAACTTTATTTGGTCAGTTTCCTGAAATGCTACATTCGTTTTATGGGAAACAATTAAAGGCAATGTTTGCGTTTTCGTTCGAACAGCAATAGAAAATAGTTCATGCGCATAACCTAATATGAACCGAGTTTGCTTTTGGGTGAAATTGAATGCAAAAAACGACGCACTGCGCCATAGTTGCCCTCCACTGACTTTGCTCACATCAATAAATCACCATTCAGAAAATCTTCCCAAATTTACGACTGACTAGCGCAATAATTTTTGAGTGATTAATTGCTCTCTTTGGCAGAGTTCTTCGCAAGATATGGAGCCCATTTGGTCATATATTTCAGACCAGTCAGTCTCTTACTAGAGATCCAACCCAACATTCCCACCCGCATCAATGTCATACAGCCGATAAATTATGGACAAATTATGCAAAGGATGATGGACAACCAATAATCCTCCAGCCTATTTGCATAAGTTTGCCTCAATAGAGGAATTAACTGTGATCACGGAAAAAGAATAACAAAAAGGTGATTTTTTTCCAAGCTACTTTTTTTCAGAAAATCGACGGAAGGAGATATCAAATATTCATGCATATCCATTACACCCGGTATTAAATGTGAGATAAATTTAGTACAGATGCTTTTAGGGACTCCAGTTGAAGGACTTAGCCCAACCAGGATACATTTTTAAGGTTGTGTGCGGGAAGAAAATATTTATGTAGTGTAGTGTGAATAGAGGAGTTTATCAATAAAAATCGGCCCAAATGACTCCCACTTTGCGTGCAAATCAATCCCATGTGACACTTTCATGCTAATTAGTCTCACAGCTTCCTTAAAAGCTTTCCATTCAGTCACCAAAAATCACCTCTTAATCTCATTACGACTGATTTGTCTAATAGATTTATATTTTTCCCTTCTGCTGCAAACAAATGTAGCATTAATAGATTTTATTTTCTCTCTATTTTTTGTTAATTTCAAGATTTTCTGTTTAATTTTCCATGCATTAGCCCTGCTGGCACCGCGCCCCTTTTCTATTTGTTTGCTGGGTCTCTATCAAAAACGAAAACAAAAGCTGGGAGTGAAAAATATGAAGAGAGGGCGGATTAGGGGCGACACGCCTTGAAACATATATAGTACCCCAGTGTAATAGGCAGGCATTAGGCAGTCCACCACAATTGACGCCCCGAGGGAAGGCTGAGAATGGACTCGGACAAAAGACCAAATTAATTGGGCCTTCTGATACAATCAATTGAATAGTATCTACGAAATTAATTAGTTGTCAAAACAAACGGTCAAAATAAATCCCTCTCTGAGATAGCTAACAAAAACTGCATGTACAAAATTGACCTACAGGAAATGCCCGAGGAATCTATCTCAAAAACTAAACCAAAAGTTCCCCTCAAACCCTAGTTTGCCTCAAATACTTTAAGGTTTTCTGTTTCCATTAATTTAACTTTCAACTGGACACGTTTACAGCGTGTTTAGTTTCAAAACACGCAATGAAAAAAATAACAGCGGGATTCGGACGTAGGATCTATGGTTTGAAAAGTTCAACTCACGTCGCATAGTGTACTGTGGGATTTGGACTTCCTGTTCAGACTGGTGTTCGTTGTTAAACATAGAGATGACCTTGAACCCTCCCTGCATTGAGACTGGCTCGGAAGCCCACGTGAGATATATTGAGTTATCTTGTTCAGATTTCACGTCCAAATTGGTTATTTTGGCTGAAAAAAAAAATGATAAAATGATAGAAGTCATCTTGAGAATTTTATTATAAATATCGAAACAATTCAAATTGATTAAAATACAAGAATGTTTCAGCTGACAAGTCAAATTTTACCATACATAGCAGTCGTGGATAATTATCTTTTTAAATGGATTTAACATGAAAAACTTTATTAACTGCGATTTTGACCCAGCATGATATGATTTGGATAGCTGTCATCAACTTTCATAGCCTTGTTTTTTTTACTATACTTCATGTACTATACTAATATTTAGCTTTGAATAATTCTGCGTCATAGTATTGCTTATATAAAGAAAAATGTCGGGAAGATTTCTCAGATTAATTCCGACCGTCGGAAATGACTATTCATTCACATGAAGAATTACCCGAAAGCAATGCTGATAACATTGACTTTTAAATGAATTTGTTGATGATTGAGTTCAGTTTGGCCTTTAACTTAGAGGAGCTCACAAGATGTATATAGTTGGGTATCATAAGCAGGGGGAGGGAAAGGGGTTTGGGGTAAGATTATAAGAGTGGAAATTATGCAACTGAGGATGATTGATTTGCTCATCAATCAATCATTTTAATCAGGCGGGTCTAGTTGCGCCCCAATGCTGCGGCTCAAATTGAGTGACATTTACAAATATTAGACTAACTCCTTCCTCAATCACAAACGCACAGTATTGTTTTCCCATTTTTGGGTAAACTAATCAAGGTGCAGCTGAGATTCGCTAGATATTTGAAGGGAAAATTAGCCCAACGAGATGGTAACTTATACACTTTCAGTCACTTTTATTACCAAAAAAATTGCCCACCCGGTATGCTAGAAGTAAGAGCGTGAGTTTCACTATACTGTTTAAAGAGCAGAGTACATTCTAATTGTAGCTTAGGTCACTATAAAAGTTCCAACCCTGCAAAATTTAACAGAAACGTATGAAGGAAAAGCAAAAAAAAAGGTAAAGACAAGAGTACAGAGTTCAGACATTGCAAATAGAGTTGACAAAAGTCTCCTGGGGCTTAATTTGAGTTGCGAAGTCATAATATCCTGTGAAATCAAACAAGTAAAAATAAACCTTACGGCAGGTAAAATATAATGCGATTTTGCCACATGGACTGAAAATTCACAATAAAGAGTTCGAATTTTCAGTGTTGATCCAGCAACGAGTTTGTTGTCACGGGAATAAACCTCTTCCTCTTTTTATTAGAAATACATCAAAATTGCTGTTCTTAAAAAATGTCATGTGTCCCTGAAGAGTTGTAAAAAAAACAAACGTAACAACGCCGTATTAAAAATTGAAATCCGGGATAGTTTTTTTTAATCAAAATTATATCTTAAGAATTCTCACAACAAGGATAAAATTCTAGATGGAATTTATTTTTTCAGGGCTTTGTTTAAAATAATATCATTCTAGAATTACATCCATTTTGTAAGGCCAAAAAGGTCTTTTTGCTATTGTTTGTGTTTTTGTTTACTATTTACAAAAAATAGCAGCCTGATTCATCTTGACAAAAGGATATTGAAATTTTACACGATTGTGTAAAAAATAAATATCTCCGCCCTTTTAAATATTGTTTGTGCTATATCTGGGGCTTAGAATTTAGGGGCGGCTTAAAGACTACGTATAAGGATCTTTTCTAGATTCGGAGCAAGTCTTTCTGAAGAGGATTCAAGATTGTTTGTAGACTTCGCTCTAGACAAAAGGGTCAAAAATCAGAGCTTTCAAAAAGGAAAATTTTGCTGAGAGGAAATTAAATTAAATGCCACTTAAGACCTTCGTATCCAATTTAGCACAAGAAAGCTGATTCAGTAGAAATGAAAAACACCTCCTTTAGAAACAAAAAACAGGACAACAAGCTTGTAAAATAGCAATTATGGCAAAAAGGAAAGCCTCCATTTCAATGATTTGCAATTAGCTCAAGGTGGACCTATCTCAACATTGGTTTCCTGCTTTTGTACAGTAAAGTGGCAACGGAAATTACGACTCAAATCAAGAGGGTCTAAATCAGAATCAAAAAGATGTTTTCTAGTTCTAGGGTCTAATTTTTCCAGCTGCCTGGCTTAATTCTTCAGAGACTGCACCGTTCGAGATGTTTGCAGCATTGTTTTTGAGATAATGTCAATTAAATCTTCACTACCATAAATAAAATAAGCTGTAAAAGCCAAAATCAGTAAAAATACGAAGAAACAACAAAAACCAAGACAATAATGCAGTGTTTGCTTTTTAATATGACGATGACAATGGGAAAAAGAGCTAACTCGAGAAAACAAAGTTTCCGAAAACTGACCTCTACTTTGGGTTTTGAACTCGACTGTTGCGTATTGTGCGCTGTCTGGGTTGAACATAGTCAGTGTATTCTCTGTGTATATTCTGACCACGTATCGGGTGAATTCCTGAAGACCTGAAAAAAATAGGATAATGTCAATCTTTTACTTTTTAATGTTCGGGAATGTATAGAGTATTGTGTAGGAAAAAATAGCTATTTGTGCTTCAAAGTTTTAGTCGCCGCCTAATGTTTTGTTCCATTTTTTCAAATCGTTTTTTTTTTCAATTGAGGGACTCATAGAAATTGATAGAAATTATCAAAGAACACTATAAAGAATGCTTATATGGACAGTTTCTTTGATTTTTGCAGTGTTATTATCCCCTCTGCTTACCTGTTAGTTGTACTTTTGGGTTGTACAGTTCCTCTGGGACGTGGACTGAAGAGGCACAGTTTTCACACTGGATCCTGTACCAGAACTTCCTGCCAGAGTACCACGAGTCCATGATTGGGTCATTCCAGTTTATGGTCACAAATGTATTCTGCACTATGGCTATCGGGCCCCTAGAAGTTATACCAAAACTAAATTACGTTTTTTTTCAAAATTTTTCCAGTTTACTAAATGCGAAACCCTTCAGTGAATATGTAAAATATGGGGAAATCCTTCTTACGGGAAAGCCGGGGAAAACTTTCTAAATATACGATAAAAACGTATTTTCTTCATATAAAGGTCATTCAATTTAAGTCCTAAAAAATAAGATGACATGAGCGGGATTCAACTCTAGATGTATACGTACTCTGGTGGTGGGGGAGGTTGCTGGCATGCTAGGTCATGGAAATCAGATGGAGGAGGGAAGAACCCGTGATTGCAGATACACTTCGTTGACCCCGACATCAAATCCGGAGAACTGTTCAAAGGACACCTTGTACATGCGCCAGAAGATCTGTCCGACTTGTACGTGTGAGGCCCACAAGCTAAAAAATATAGTAATTAATGTATAAAAAAATTAGCATTCTTGAATACGTCAATTAAATGACTTCTGAATGGCCGCGTCTTAATTGCTGCTTCTGAGCAGAAGTTGTTGTGAAATTTCATTACGCATCCTCACCCCGTTTAGCTTGAATTTCACGTGATTGGCATGTTTGAAAGGGCTTCAATTTTCAACTGACACAATTTTGCACAACAATTTAGCATCCAGAGTAGAATATTTAATCATCCGTGATACCATTTTTGGCACAAAAGACTGGAAAAGCCCGGAGGAGCAATCAGGCCCATCACCTGGTGCGCTAGCAGCCAAGACAACGTATTCAATTTTGATCCCAAGTTGCCGCGGGTCAATTTTCAAACGAAAATCATCACCTGAGATTATTTACACAGTGGGCAAATTTCCGATTCTTTGATGTCTCAGAAGCAGAGCGCAAATTGTAACTTCATATCGGAAATTTGTTCAAGTTTAAATTTGAATGAATTTGTGAATTTTCTCTATTCATAAACATTCGTTCAGACAAACGGATGAAAAAAAGTATGTTCAATTATTTTATTTCCGAAGACGAAAAAAGTTACCATATGGTCAAAAAATGACTTATTTTGTGACGCAATTTTAAAACTTTGATTACTCTCATTTATCTCAGCTTTAGCTCCGGAGAAAAAAAAAGATCAACTTAATGGGCCGGCAAATTTTCTTTAAAAACAATTATCCACTTTTCTGACATATGGGACCTATACAATTCGACCGAAATTTTTTTATTCGCTTACTTGAGATTTTTAGCTTCAATAATTTGGAATGAGTTTTTTACGGTTGACCTAGCAGCTTACTTTGAAAACAAAAACCTGTTATTTTCTAATTTTTCATAACTAGTAATCATCACAAAGTGAGTCGATGCCCAAGGGAATTGTTTTAATATTAAGGAATTTTTAAATTAGGAAATGATCATTTTCTCAATTTCCTGGGGGATGATTGTTCACATATGTGACACAATATACTCGATCCCTTGTTGTGCTATTATGAATACCCAATGCTCCCTGCCTTGCAAAAAATGAAAGGGAAATTTTCTGGGCATATAATAACACCTTAACCTGTTTTTCATTCATTTCATTAACTAGCTATTAGTTTATATGAACTAACAAAACTGGAACTCTGCTATTGTTTAGAAAATATTGCTTGCCCGCCCCTTTGTAGGCCGCCTTAGAAGGAATTTATCCTAATTGGGCGTTCTGAAAACAAATTAAGGTAAACTTGAAAACATCGATTTTTTTGTTTTATCGGCACTGGAGCGGTAATGAGGGCAAAACAAACATGGACAATGTTTAAAGTCAATTTGAGGTCCCGACAAAAAGGTGTTTTGGATTAAAACACAAGTTAATTCAGCCAAATCTTAAAACAACCGAACACTGAACCACAACCACTGAAAGCCGAAACTTCTATAAACATATAAAATACGCTATACTTGGATTCGGTAATTTGAGTTTTCGACAATTTGGTTTATTATTTACAATTCTGACTGTACAATTTGGGAACCCAATCAAAACCTGTCGGGAAAAGTGGTTCACGTGTCTAAACAAGGGACAGAAATCGATATGTTATCACTGTCGTTGTGTAAAAATAGGCCGCAACAGGCATTTGTGTAATCAACATCTAGAAGAACTCACGCTATGGCCTCCCGTGGCTCAAGTGATTCACTCTGTTTGACTGGCAACTCTCCCCTCAAACTTATCGACCGTTTTTAACACAAAAACAAACAATTTGCCAAAAAAAATTATAAAAAATGAATAGGTAATCAAATGCACAAACAGGAAAACAATTTCAGAAAACCTGAGGCTCAGTTTATCTTAGCAAAAACAAACAAATTGACATTTTCTCTTATCAAAAACAAACAAGTTGACAATAGTAGAAAAAAAAAGAAATTATTAAGTAATCAAAAGCACAAACAGGGAAACCTTTTCAGAAAACCTGAGGCTCAATTTCTCTGTTTTTGTTAGTCGGATAACTTCTCTAGGTAACTGTTCCACTTTTCGACAAAGATAACTATCTTTTTTTTTATTTAAATTCTTGTTTTTTCTTTTTTAGTGTTAATACTAACGAGTGCAATCTATTCGATCTTCGTTCGTGCTCTCGTAGCCAGCCTCACATTGACATTTGTCCTGAGACGACTTCATATGGTCCCATCCTCCCGCATTGTTACACAGTGCTTTCGGTTGTCTATCGGGTTGCGAGCTGGCGCCTTGCTGACACGAGCCGAACACTGGACTCGACGAACCACCACTTGTAGTTCGTGGGTAGAGCGTGAAATCTTTGACGACTTGAGGGCAGAAATAGTAGAACACTTTAATACTGTGAATAACAGTGCAGGATCCGTGGTCTGTAAATGCCAAGTAGATTCCCCCGTCGGAAACAGTCCGACCTAGCTGAAAATTATTCTCGGCAATCCTTTCCAGGTCAATTTCGGCTTCGTATAAAAACGCGTCATCTTGACTCGACTCTTCGAGCTTTGTCTCGGTGAAAAATAGGTCTCCGAGATGTTGATCAAGGGGTTTGTATGCCGCTTTGTCGTCGGGCGAGGCGTTACTTCGATGCAAATACGACAGTTTGATTTTGTTATCACATTTTTTTGAAGATTTTTCCTCGGCTAGAGAGCAATCTTCTTGGTTGTACCTGAAAAACTCTCGCACTTGCTTACTGACAAAAAACGCTCTTTAGAACGCGCAATTTTTTCTTTCGAAATAAGGCAAAAAAATTTCGCTCAAAATTCTTTTCAATCTAGCATAAGATTGAAATTCTGGGAAAATTATCTATATTTATATTTTTTGCAATACGGATGAACTTTCTAGAATAAGAATGTTCTGGTACAATCAGATTAGAGTAGTATAGTGAATGCTGACCATATTCTGATCTTGAGTATTTTGGCGTCATCCAGTGCGATGTAGGGAGTGCGGAGCCAGTTCTCCGCCCCCTCCACTTCAGTGTCGCACACAGCATACCCATTCTTTCTCGTGCCACCCGACTGCCACTGGAAAACAATTCAAAAACAACGTCACCATAAGTTTTTAAAAAATATTGAAATGATTGAGTGTTTGCTTAAATTTAAGAACTCAAATTAATGAACTTATCATTCATCACCATCTCACTATAAAACCTTTTAAAGTTATTTAGCCGCAATACCGTTCAAACATCATAGAAGCTTTCTGAATTTGTTTTTTTTTGTTTTCTTTGCTAAACACTGTTTCGTGTTTGCGAGGGCCGACGTTCACCTGATGCTTGTAAACACTTTTGAATCATGATACTCGCAGCAGGAGGTTTTTGATTTAATTCAGTCGGGCTAGCCTCAATAGGTTAGCAAATTAATGTCCATGTCACGCCCAGAGACTAAAGAGCCCAATTAACCCATTAGTTATTCAAACACAATCAATGGGGGTACTAAGCCTCTTGAAACTGTTTTGCACTTGCACTTGTTTGCTTAGCTTTTAACTTGTTCTCGTTAACTAATTTGCTGTTTATTTAGTGATCGATCAATTAATTACTTTCTGCAAATTACTTATTTGTTAACTATGTGAACATGAAAAAATACCTTGAAAAGATTTGAAAACATTGATTTCAAATCTTATCATCCAAAAAGAAGGCATTTCAAAATTTTTAACTGGCCACAAAAAAATTTCAAAATGATTCTCCTTGTCCATTTCAGGAGTAGAAAAACGCAAATTACGCTTGAATTATTCTTTTACAATTTTTTAAAAAAGAAACTGAGGTTTAAAAGCGGCAAAAAATTGTTTCAAGAATAATCAGTTAACTTAACTCAAAGCTCGATTGGTTAGGCGTGGGTAATTTCAACTTTTTCAAAGTATATCGCACTAAAGATTGAAAAGGTACGAAACTTGTGCTAAAACACAAATCCATCGGTTAATTACAGCACTACTCGTAGTTACATGAAGATTCGCTCTTTTAAGTCACTTGTGAATTAATACTTAACGAGAAAAGCCAGAGACTGACTTGGTCAAACAACTCGAGTGGCTTTGTGGCAAAAATTAAGCCATTAAAAGTTACAATCAATCTCAGCGACAGTCCAAAATCTAACAAAGAAAACAACATCGCGAAAATTATATGTACCTTTCGGTACAAGCACATCAAATTTTACGCCAAATCTTCTACCAAATCTACTTTCAGGCGCACAAATTGACCAAACTTCTGAAAAATTTAAACAAAAAGACACCATAAAACATGGTCGAGTTGAAAATTATGAATGAATGAATGAGTTTTAAAACCTGTTTACACAAATATAATAGAATTTTTATTATTCTCCCTGAAGGCAGAAACCGAGTTTTTTTTCATTGAGGAGAGCTTTTCTGAATTATTGGCTAAATTTCAGCAACTGAGCAAATATGGAAAAACAAACTGCGAATTGTATTAAAATAGTTTCAACAGAATTCTTAAACAGGCGACCATTACTGCGGCTCTCTTTGAAGTAGTCAAAGTTCGTTTCAGCTCAAACATTAAAATTCACCATGGAAAAACGAAAATTCGTTTTGTGGTAATTAAGAAAAAAATGTCTTGCTTTTATTATATCCGATCTTTATTCTAAATTTGGTGGTTTTTTGTAGTCACGGCATATGACACCATGCCAAAATATCCCAGGACAAAATATTTGCCTTACACCCTCAACTTACACCATGTTTGGTTTTTCCAGTTGTTCCTACGGCAACGAAGTCAGACCACACTTGACTGGCCGCCTCGTCAGACGGGCTATCTTGACTGGATCGGTCTAGTAGCACCTCTAAAACAGGGGAAAAACAAATACAAACGAACTAAACATCGCTTTAATAAAATTAAATTAGAGAAAATCAAATTTTTATTAAAGGCGTGTTTTCATATTACTTGAGTCTTGTAATTGATATCTTGTTTTTAATCGTCCGTTCCCTTTGAAAAGCTGAACATTTATCTGATAAGCTGGATTTTTTATAACAACTGTTCTTGTTGTATTTTGCGTTTTTTGTCTGTTTTAGTAGTAGATATTTGATTCAAAGGTGAAGAATTATCCAAGCATTTAATGGTCATTAGAGGTTGATTAAATAGAATTGATTCTGTTTTGTTCTGAGGCCACTTTGCACCTGGTCAAAATAGCCCAGGTAGCCGCTATTAGTCTGCACGATGAATGCATTTCAATGTGAACAAATGATTTAATCATCATAAAACAAGATGAACAAAACCGATCATTTAACTGTCCTGTGCGATGCATTCTGCTCAACTAGCGGGGCGGAAAACCACCTTTTTCGAAATCAGGGAGAAACGCAGTGACAATTTGAAACCGTCCTGTCCTGTATTGATGATGATGACAAAAATACGAGAAGAAAAAGACTTCCATTGAGTTACAGCCCACTTTTACGCATGCATAGATTTTTTTAAATGTGCTAACAATGCAAAAACTAGAACAAATTGGCAAAAATACAGCTAATTTACGGATATTTTTGAATGATTTTTCTGTTTTTCATTTTTTCTGATTTTGTATAACGAGCTGTATTGACACACATCTTTTGTCAATTGTATTCCCAAAATTATTTGACTAATTTCACTGATAATAGTTAGCGCTAGCCATGGAAATGGATCAGCTTGAGATGATAGGTAAAAAAAAAACTACCCGGTTTTTAAAAGTTCTTTTCAATGCTAGAACTTCTCATTAAAACGAGATGTGAACATCGGAAAAATCTAAAACAAATTTGAAACTCTGAAAGCAATAATTTTAAGTGCGTCAAAGAACAAATTTTGTCAATTGAGTTTGAATGTTGAAAACTGGGCAAATATTCTCAAAATCTGCATAAGACTTTCCATGTACGCTTTATTGCTTTGTAGCACCATCCGAGCCCTTCAGTAGTTTTCATGACAAAAACTGAAGATATAATTTTTTTTGGAAAATTTTTGTGTTTTGAATCTCCAGATGGAAATATCTGTGAAGCAGAAAATGAATTGAAGACTTGAAATTAATTTTCAAGTTTTGAAAATTGTAATCAATTTTGTTTTTCAGAATCAGGAGACTAGACCTCCTGAACAAAATCGCCAGCATCTGGATTTTTTCATCGCTGTGATTTCAAACAAAATGACAACAGAGCAAGTACAGGACATCAGGAAACTTTACACCTTGGGCGATACTTTCTTGCTCCCCTATTTGAAATTGAGGGGCATCAAAGACCAGTTATGTCGTAATATGTCATAAATGTCTCGCAGCATGTCCGTTCTATTTGCCAACCCAATTCTCTGATGTTGAAAATATTTGGACTTGTAGTAGGGGTTGAACAGTTAAGAGGGCCTACAATTAGCAGCAAGCTTCTCTATTTTTAGCAAGCAGGGAAATTCATCTGAAATCTTATTTGAGAGCATTGAAAACTTGTTCCAGTTAATATCAATGCGTTGTGATACAATTGAAATTTCTAATACTGCTACACGCGTACGGTAATGGGACGCATCTTTGACATAATCTCCCTTTTTCGAAGAATCAAGCTATCATATTTGCATTTGTTTTAAGTTTACAGTAAAAAAGACACCAAAAATATTTTAAAAATGACCAAAATCACCTAAGAGAAGACTTTTTAATCAAAAGCATTCATAAATCAGCTTTATTAGTAATATATACTTTTTTAGAAGTTTGTATGGCGTGGCGGTTTTTCTGTAAGAGGGTTGAGCAGGCGGAATCCATTTGTCTGTCACAAAGACCATTCAAACGGAGAAGGGAGAAGCCAAAAGCGTGTTAATAATTTGAAATTGAAGCTATCGTGCATGTAAAATCATTCCGTGAAATTAAAATTTTCGGATTATCAATTTTCTCATAGTTTTTTTTTGCATTTTTGAAAATAATGTCTCATGTTTTGCATTAAACAGATTACGTTTTGTTGCCTAAAATATCTCGAATCTGTTGAACGAGATTTGTCTCATATTAAGCTTCGCTTTAAATACACGGATTCCCAGATTTATTAATTTTTCATCTTCCATTTCAATTTTTCGCTGGACTGAAATATACTGAAATGGAAACTGTTTCTGTATATTTAAAAAACGTTGAGCTTTTCAAGAAACCAAATAAAGGAGATGTTTCACAAAATTATATCAATATTATTGATTTGACATTTAAGTTTCTTACCTTTGTCGCTATGAACGATTCTCCAAAAACTGACCAGATACAAGCAAATGAAGACTATGGAAACTCGTTCGAAACCCATTTTGAACTTGAGATCAATCGAATAAGAGCCGGTACAGAAAACGATCCCGGAGTTAATAGCGGTGAAAAGAAATAAAAAATGTGAAAGTTGTGGCGCTTTTCGTTGACAGGCAATAAATTTTCAGTCTGCAGTTAGCTTAAAGTATCGAGAGACTCGTGAATATTGTCGAGTATTTTCTTCAAGATTGAAAAATGACAAAAATGTACAAATTTATTAACCGTCGATTTAATTCAGATCTGCAGACTTAAAAAAATTCTGTTGTTGAAAATCGTATCAAAGAAAAATATTCAGCTCTCTTTTCATTGGCTAAAATAGTTAAATACTTTTTGTGCTGAAGAAATGCACCGTATATTTTGTAAGCTCTGATTGATTATACTACTGTGAAAGTAAATAGGCGGCTACTTATTGGACTATTGATTCGCACCTTGATCATCGCCAATATCAGGGCTCTTTCCATTGTAGACCCCCACCCCCACCCTCAGCGACAGAAAATCATTTCAGCCGCGAGCGGCGAGTTTTGTATTTATTTTTGGAATCAGATTAAAATGGGAAAAAGACAAAATACAATATCAACTGTATCAAATATAAGATCAAAAAGACAAAATACAAGATCAATCATCCCCCGCCCAGATGACTTAAGAGAGACTTTTTTTGTTTAATATAAATTTTGGAAAAAACAACCCCCCTCATTTCTGTTTTCTAAATTTTTCCAGTCTCCAAAACTGCTCAAAATTTTGCACAGTTTTTTTTGCTCATAATTTTGCCTTGAGCCCAAAAGTTTAACATATGGTCTTTCTGGACTTTCAGCAGAGCTCGAAAAATTTGAAATTGTTGCCCCTCGGCAAAGTAGACAACCAACCGCACACCACTGAAAGAGAACTATCTGCTATCAATAAAATGCTGAGCCTGTCTACACCAAGACTTAAAGCGAACGCTTTTTCAAGTAAATGGAAACTAATTTGAAAACTTTTAATATGTATTGGATTGCCAGAACAGCAATTGGATTGCCAGAACACCAAAAGAATCAATTGGGCGCTGCGCAGGTAGGGGTGGTGAAATGATAACGTCTCCGCCTCTCAAGCGAAAGGTCGGATGTTCGATGCCCACCACGATCCGGGCTCGTTGCTTGAGAGTGAGGCAAGATTACCCAGCCCAGACAAAAAAACTAAAAAACTTGCATGCAGTTCTTAAACAGCGGCACATCAGCTGTTCGCGGTGATGAGCTGTACAGCTCGTATGTTGGTCCTTTCCCTAGTGGATAAATGGTCTTGAAAACAAGTAACACAGAACATTCCTTAGCACGGTAGCAAAGAACAAATATAAAATGAGTCTTTTTCTGAAGATATGGCTTCTAGGTAGAATTTGAGTTTGAGAAATGTCTTTTGATAAAAAAAAATATTGACTCAACAACGTTTTTGACCAACAACGTTTTTGACTCGGAAAAGACCGAAAAAAGATAAAATCTTAAATCAACTGTAGAACCGTCCCGTTCAAATTTCTAGATTTATAATTTAAAAAAAAACCAACCCCGTTCTATTCTGGTCATCTGGGTTTTCTAAAGGGTCTCTAAGTTGGGATTTTTTAACACATAAAATATGGCTTTTCTACATGTGGTTTTTCTAATGTTTCGTCAGAGCTCAAAAAAGCCAAAATTGCTTAACTAATATTAAATATACAACAACCTATCACCACTGAACCAGAATTATCTGGTGTTCCTTAATTTTTGAACCATACCATAATACGTCTACAGCGCGCGCATTTTTAAGCGGAGTTGAAAATAACGGATTTAAGAACTGTTAGAATATAAAATCTCAGTTTGATCACAAAATACGGCAATACCGTTAAATAGTGCAAATTTCCTCCCTAAGGAAGGGCCAGACCATCGGGAGTAGCTGATTGCTCTGCAATTAATTCAGAACTTTCTGAGACTTAAGAAAAAACTATTTTTGCAATGAGAAAGTTTAATTTGAGTTTTACACCGCCTTTTCTCTACAATGAGAAAAATTCTAAGGGAGATTCTTTGCAATTAGCTTCTTAGGATTTTTTTTGCGAACATATTTGAACTTATTTGCTTGTTTGCGAACATATTTCAACCAGATCTGATGTTTATTTGCACACTTTCATTATAAGAAAAAAACAAAAGACAAAAAATCAGGGTTTTGCAGATTTTAAACCTTGATCTTTGCCAGTTGTTTCGTCTAAAAACTTAATTGCTCGTACATCTCGTCGCAAAAATATCAATCAATTGTGGGGGGCTAGTTAGAGAATGTCAATAATTTCAGTTCATATTGTTCAGTTGCGAGAGTTCAGTCTATCACTGCAAGTGTTAACAGGTAACTGCCTGTCAACCAGTATAAAGCTATTTCTGACCACTATATCAATCGTTTTACTGGATTAAGTTAGGGTTGTTGAAGTAACGGATTTAGACTGATACGTTTTATCGACCCTTTTTTTTGACGAGCCAATGTTGGTGAAGGGAAAAAATCATGAAGAAAGTCTGGATTTTTTATGCAGAGTTAAGCGGAATAGCGGCCACGAGCAACCTAAAAGGGCAGTAACGGAAAATAGAGCGCGACCCATTTAACTTCAATATGAAAAAACGGGACGTCCTGAATGAAATGTGAAAAAAAAATCACCGGAGAAGGCATTCACGATAGCCATCTCATTTTAAAAAAATACGCCAAAAAATACAAAGAAAATTTGGTGGGAACCTCTACAAGCGGAGACCCTCTACAAACTATCAACTATCACGAAGGACCAAAAATGACGGACAGTAACGCATGCTGCGACTGCGACCAAATAAAAATCACACAGGAGGACCTGTACAATGTCCCTCACGATCACCGATATGCAATTTATGCAAGAATGTAGGCCACTAGTGGAAAACATGCATAAGAAAACAATTGTCACGCGGTGGATGTTCGGTTGATCGACTCAAGAGAAAGATGTGTCGAGGACAAGGACGGCCGCTCGGATGAAGTATCATTGCAATACGCGAAAGCAGTTGTTCTTCAAGAAGGAAGCATCGCTGGTCATCGGAAAGCTCAGATAGCTATTGAAAAATGACGATACGTCAAAGGAGATAGAGGGAGAGTCACCTAAAGGTACCATGGCCTAAACTGAAACTCGCAACCAATGGATGAAAATAATGATCAACAGCAGGTCGCTCGTATCAATATTTGAAGCGTTGGACCTCAGAAAAATCCAAGCGAAGGCAGTAATCCAATTGAAACCGTAGAGCACAGAGGACGAAGGACTTCGCTAATACAACATGATCAAAAACAACCGAATCAGATTGAAAAACGCGAAACTGGCATTGAGTCGATGAAAAACCTGAATTGAAAGTAGAGTGATCGGTGGCAACAGACAATCAATGGTGGGAAAAGACCTGCTTAGCAAGATTCATCTACAAACTGTGCAGAGGAGTCGCTATCATGAACACGCCGAGAGAGGACTCCGTTGAAAGCACAAACCAAACAATAGAAGACGGAAAGACGCCGATCCGTGGCACTAATACTTCGGTAAGCATTTTGCCCAACTAATAACTAAAATTAGGAATAGTTTTTCGCAAGCTGATTTTTTGAAACTTGTTTCCGGTAAAATAAAAAGGCCACAGGCTACCGATAACGATAACGCTACAAACAAAAAAGCAAAGAGAAAATGAAAAATTGCAAGACCAGATTTAAATACAGAAACTTCAAGCGTATTCGAATCGATATTTCGTATCAACAATGATAACCACACTGAAAAGCCAGATCCAAAAAATTAGGACTGAAGTCACAATAACTCACTAAACAGGTTCACAAAATCAAATATCAAATGCTAAACCTGATGGTATGTGGATATCATAGGGCACTTATTGGGAGAGAAGACCCAAAGCAATGTATTTTTAGCAACAAGGGATTTGAAGTTCGCGTATGGTCAATAACCAACAAGCCAAGAAACGAAAAATTATTGTAACTATTCTAGTGTAGGGAAAAACTCTACCGGTTCTAATCGACCCCGAACTAATTTATAGGTCATAATATTATCGCCAGCTTAGTTTCAACGGGTGATAAACTCAGTTTTTAGCGAGTTCCCTCAAACAAAAGAACTTTTTGACGATATACTAATCACAACCAAGAGAACTGAAATTGAACAGATCTCCTTGTAATAAGAACTTAACAAAAACTGCATCACAAGAACCTATCAGCAAAATGCGAGTTTGCGATACGCGATTGCAAATGGTTGGGCTATTGAAATACAAAAGCAGGAATGCAGCCACTGAAACGGAAAACGACGCCAATTGTAGCGTTAGCCGCCACTAAAACAGTAACGCAACTTAAACTCCTCACGGGCTAAACAAATAGTCTCGTCAATTACCTACCAGCGTTGATAGACCTATTTTTGCCACTCGAAATCTTAAAAGTATGAACAAAGCTTAAATTGGACTGAGGAGAGCGAATTAATTATTTAATTTTTTTTCGATCAGGGAGTAGCAAATATCAAGGAGCTAAAGCTTTTGATATCCACAAAGTGTAGTCTGCGACGCGAGCCACATTACTTGGGAGCAAATTGAAACAGCTAGGATCCAAAGAGACGGCCAATCTTAATCTTATCGCGATTTCTTATCGAGGCTGAAAAACGTTTCAACCAGCGAAATACTGGCTGTAGTGAGTAAGCAGAAAATTTTTTTATCATAGAAAGAAAAATTACAATCCACCTTCACCCATGGTTTAAAGTCGGTTAAATGTTTTCTGTTTTTGTTTCTCGTTGGCTGAGACGTGGTTAAACTGAAAAGAAACTGTTTTAAGACACTATGGAAATGAAAAAACATGGAATGATTTTTCAGGAGCTTAACCAAAATACACGGTCTGTTCTGATTTCAATAACTTTTGCTACCGAAATCATACTTTTAAAGAGTAGTTTTATAGATTTTTTTCTAAATAATTTGTCCAGACAAACATTCTCTTAAACCGTAATTTGCTCATAGCTTGTGCTCGATAACGAAATCGAAAAGATTCAATCTGTCTAACTACCTGGTTATTTTCAAAAAATATTTTTATTTTGTTGTCATTTCTTTTCAACAATGTGGATAAGAGTTTATGATCTGATATAAAAGCAAAACATAATGCCTTAGTATAAATATTGAACGGAATTAACAAGTTAAACAATTTGTTTCTTTCTTGAAAATAACTAGATGGCTAGACAGATAGATTTTTTTTCGGTTTCGTCAACGAGCACAAACTAAGAGTAAAATACCTTATAGCAGATTATTTGTCAAGAAAATCAAGTTACCTGCCGAACCTCAAACCCA